AAAGTATGCCGGTATGCTTGCATATATATTTATGTATGCACGTATCTATGATATGTGTATCTATATATTCATAGATTTATGTATATATGTGTGCATGCATGTATGTATGAACGTTTGATGTATGTTTGTATTTACATATATATATATATATATACATATGTATGCATGTATGTACGTAGGGTGTAGTTATGCATGTGTTTATATGTGAAAGTATGTTGTTATGACCACTCGAACCAAGCTACCTTTCGGAGTGTGAGCGACAAGTGAAACTCATTGAAAACTTGAATCCTGCTGCTATCTTTGTGGGAAAATGCAACTATCAGTACTGCATTACTGTATGCAGCTTAGTTCAATTGTAAGTCCGAGTCTAGGTTTATTGATAGTTTAGATAATTTCATTTTTGTGTACGTCTTCATTGCGTCAGGTATGCACATATTCGTTCTCCTCTTCCTCATCGCCTTATCGTCTCACTAGCCTCCTCGATGCGACTCGAATCATGGGCCCTTAATTCACCTTATCTCTTGGCTGTTGTGGGATTTCACATCATATGAAAGTGCCTGATCAAGAGACTCGTGTGCCAATCTCACCGGATGACAAATGTTGACATCTTCAGAGCTGGAATTCATTCTTGAGAAACTTTATAGTAACCTAACGTTAAAAGAATTAGCAGACTATCCTACATGCTATGCATACTCCCAAATAGAAACAAAAATATATAAATATTGAGTTACTTTGTTGGTTCTTTTTCCCATTAATCAGAATAATTATACATTTGTGATTGTTTGCGATACCACTCGTAATACTCACCACTTCTCAAATTAATCACAATAGAGCATAGCGACAGTCAGGTTCATCAAGGTTTAATAATTTACTATTGTCGGTGGAGCAAAGTTATATTATAAAGTATTATATAAGCAAAAAATAACCAATTCAGTCGAGTTTCATAGTAAATAAAGGAAGTGTTATTTAAACGATGAAATTTTAGCCTGTGAGTTTAATACAAAACGAAGAAGGACGACTTCTTTGACTGTCTCAACTTGAAGATAGTAGTAAAGCCAAAAATTAAATCATTCATAGTTTTATAGTAAGATTGACCAATAGATCATGTTAAATAAGTGTATTCATTGCAATACTATCTCGAAATATTCCTAAAAATCCATTCCCTTTCTGGAGATGAACTGTCTCTCATTCGGGCCGAACTATTGCCCTAATCCTTCATACGGGACTCAAGTCCAGAACTCTCGCAGCACATCTGAAGCTCCAGACCTGCCCTTCATCGCCACGGATACTTCATTCTTGGGCTCGAGTCCCGTATCAGTTTAGTTAGTCCCTACCAGGATCTAATAGTGTAACTAACCTCTGGTGCAGTCGGGGGGCTCGGCAAAAAACATGAAACAAAAACATGTCTTCTACGACTACTTACGTTCAGCTGGCACGTAGAGACTTATGAGAGCCTTAGTTCCTTCAAATTTGGTTACCGGGGTGACGGTAAAATCGTAGCTTGTGCAGGTGAGCAAGTTGGTCACCACCACCTGGTTTTGAGTGCCAGAAATGAAAAGGGTGGTATTCAGGAGAGCAGGCGTGACGGAATCTTGTACCGTGATCACGTAATGGTCGACATTGCCTTCGCGTAAAATGGGATCGTCCCAGATAAGCTCGAGTGTGTTGGGGCTCATTTCACCGCTTCGCAAGTTGCGTACAGGCGAAGAAATGTCTGACGAAGAAAGTGGGAGAATTGACAAGATAGTCAACATTAGCGAGATGGGTAGGTGCGACTTACAGTGTTCCCTTCTTATGGGACCACAAATCCAGGGTTCGAACCCCGTCAGGGGTTCAAT